CTCCAATGCTTATCCCTAAGAAGGCATACGTGCTGCAGAGTGGTCAGAAACTAGGGTGTCCAGCAAAACCATCACCTTGATCTCTGGAGTGAAGGGCTGCTCTAGGTGCAATTGTCATGTCAGACATGACAGTCCCCAGCCTGGCCTTCAGGGCTTGCTTCTCCACAAGAGTGGGCCACTCCCTCCCTCCAGGTGACTCAGGTATGGTACCTCCACTCCAGGACACAGTCTGGGAGTCTCTCCTGGAGGCATAGGAGTGTGGCCTTTTCACTCTCTGCTTGCAATACCACAAAACCCCAGAAAAACTATGGAAAGGGGTTTTCTAAACAAAAACAAAAACAACAAAAAACTGCCTGCTTTGGGACTATAATCTCCAAATCAAATTTGGACTTTTACAAAACTAAAATGTCCTTCAGAAAGTTGACTGAAAAGTGAATTTCTGTTCACTGAGCCATAGTGCTTTTCATTATAAAATCAGTTGGAGCATAAAACAGATATATTTTCACTGGAGGAGTTCACAACCAGAACATGGTCAAAATCACATGAGAAACACAGCAAGCCACTAAAATTCCACAGAGCAAATGAAAAAGAGCAATTTAAAACAAAACCGTAATAACAAAGCACTCAGACGAATCCACGAAGCCATGGTGGGGCAGTGAATGCTTTACCAGGAAGCATCCTTGAGACTAGAGGACAGGCACACAGGAGAAGGACAGGCAGACATGTGCAGATGGTTCCCTGGCTCTTCAATGGAGCCAGCACACCAGGTGAGAACAGGAATGCTGGGACTACTCTGAAACTGTGAGTATGTGCTTCTGATTTTGATGATGCTGACATTCTTGATGTAGTGTTTTTGCATGTCTACCAATCGATGCTAAACCTCGCCCCCAACCTCTGCTTAAAATGCATTTTTACCTCAAGCAGTTACAAATATTTAAGCTCACTTAACTTTAGTTAATTCTGTAAAAATAAAGTTCTGAAAACTCTGGGCATGCCTGTGGCCTCATACATGGGAGCTGAAGCAGGAGTACGGCTGGGAGTTTCAAGGGAAACCTGGGCCACCACAGCAAGTGTGTCTCCTTGTGAGACACCTACAGCAATTGGTATATACTGGAGGATAAATGTGTCCCAGGCAGTGTGGAGGCCAGCTCCACGGTTGTGCACATAATTCCTACACCATGGGAAGGAGCACCTCAGGGTGACACCTTGTAGTGACAGGGACAGGGTGAGACCTGAGGCAGATGAGCACACTGGCACGCCCTGGGGACTGACTGTGGTAACAGCAGGAATGACCTTTCCTGTAACTGTGTCACACTCAGTTTGGGCATTAACTCAGAGTGAAGCCGTGGTTCTTCCAGCACGGGCTGGGGTGCCACAGCGGGGCAGCAGGGCCGGGAGCTCCTCAGACTCGGTAGTGAAACCCTGCGAGTAGCTTCAGCAGTCTGACAAGCCTTCTCGATGACTCTGAGTCTGCAGCTACTGTGGGGAAGGAGGGACCATCTAGTGTGATCCATAAGCACAAACCAGAGCTCTCAGAGGTGAACCCTGCAGACAGCTACGCTGTACAACTGGTAACCCTGACACATCCAAGTTCCTTGTACTCTTCTCCTAGACAAGACTTCAAAGCCAGCTGAGGCCCTGCATCTTTGTTTGCTTTGTTTTGACACAGGGTCTCACTACACAGCCCTGACTATCCCAGAACTCACTCTGTAGCCCAGGCTGGCCTCAAACTAACAGAGACCTGCCTGCCTCTGCCTCCCAAGTGCTGGGACTAAAGGCGTGCACCAGGCCTGGCTCCTGCATTTGTTTTTAACATATTGTACTTGCTTAAGGCAGGCTTTGTGCAGATCCCTATTGAAAGCCTTTCTTTCCCATCTGATCCATGGATGTATGGAAGCTGAGTTCTGCCATGCTGCAAAGACCGCCAGGAATCCCAGGTTCGCCATGGAGGTGTGGAGAAGGGGCTCTTTTGTCCGGGGGTAGGGGCAGGACCTCCCAAGTCAAGACAGAAGGCGGCAGCCACAGCCTGGTTATTCTGACTGCAGGGTGGGTGCTGACAGAGGTGCTCACATCCAACAGCAGGATGAAGGGAGGACGTCGGGAATGACGTGTGTGAGGTGTCAGAAAAGAAGGGACAAAAAGGCCAGTGCTAGGAGAAGCCGCAGCCCCCGGGGAAGGTCCTGGGGAGCCCTTTAAACTGGTGCCAAGCAAACCAAGTGACATGAGGCCCTGCTTGGAAAGTGCCACCAGGGCCAAGTTTCTCCTTGGAACAGCTTTTTGTGAGCATAAAGCTCACTTGTGTGTTAGCAGTATTTGTTTTGGCCTGAAGTGGACTGGATGGGAAAAAGCAAACCTGATTAAAACTGGCAGTGGAGCAGTGGGAGGCAGGGCTGGGGCAGCCTCCCCTGACACACAGAGTGCCTTCTCTCACTCAGCCCTGGCTGTGCAGGAGGAGTTCAGGGCAGTTTGGAAGAGCTGCTGGGGGCTGGGCAGTCTTCCCGTAGACTTGTAGACTTTCCCAACTACCTCTCAGCTCTCCCTTTGGCTGCAGCATCCTTCACAGACCTGGGGGCTCTAAGGCAGGCTTTCAGAGTGGAAACCCAGGAGGCTCAGGCTTCCAGAGGGATTTCACAGGCTTCCAAATGAACAAGCAGCTCTGAACACTGAGTGTAGGCTGGTTAGCATTAGGAACAGGCTAGTCTTTATTCTGAAAACTCAAGGTTTTCAGAGGTGCTGTCCCCAGGGCTACTAGAATGTCTTCTTTTTCTTTCTTTCTTTCTTTCTTTCTTTCTTTCTTTCTTTCTTTCTTTCTTTCTTTCTTTCTTTCTTTCTTTCTTTCTTTCTTTCTTTCTTTCTTTTCCTTCCTTCCTTCCTTCCTTCCTTCCTTCCTTCCTTCCTTCCTTCCTTCCTTCCTTCCTTCCTTCCTTCCTTCCTCTCTTTCGTTTAGTTTTTTGAGACAGGGTCTCCTTCTGTAGCCCGGGCAGACCTGGAACCCACTATTTAGCACAAGCTAGCTTCAAATGTGTGGTGGCAATCCTCCTGTGTCAGCCTCCCAGGTGTGGGGCTTACAGGGGGAACCATCTCACCCAGTTTGGTCCTAGAATTTTAATGCACGATGACTACTCTCCTAAAGGTTAGCTATGAAAGGGATACTCGATTTTAAAAGAGCCTAGGTCACAGATCTTCCCAATGCTATAATCAAGCACTATCAGTTTCGTCTGGGGAACCTTCTAAGCTTCTTTTGTTGGGGGGAAGGCGGGGATGATAGGGTCTTGGTTTGTAGCCCACACTGGCCTGGAACTCCAGCTCCTCTTCCCAGGGCTGAGGTCACAGGTGGGCACCATCTGGCCTGGCTCAGGAATTTCTTTTAATGGGTGCATAGTACTTGCCACCCAATACTTGGCTAATACCATCTTTTGATAGAGATCCTCAGTCTCTCACCTCCAGTTAAAAAATCCACAAGCTGTGAAGGCCAGCTCTCCAGGTGGCCATATGTGAACTTTCTGGATATAAAACATGGTTAGAGGCCTTATTCTCTTTAGAGGGGCTATTCATATGTGACACTGGATGAAGAACACCATGCTTGACTGTGAAGTGTTACACACAGCTTTCAGGAGACGTGATTAATACTCCACACTAACTTCTGGGTTCACAACCTGCTCAGCTCAGAACTTCTGGACAGGGGCATATAGACTTTATAGTTGCCTCCAGCTAATGAAGGAGTGGTGGCCTAGATCTTTCAGACTCAAGACTCAGTTCAGTCTCCCTGAAGGTCAAGTGGATTCTATGAAGTAGGAGGTGGGGAGGTGTCCGGGAGATGGGGACAATAAGAAGACAGTGGTGTCCATCAGGCCCGTGGGATGCTGACAGGAAGGACCACTGCTTTGACACAGCACACATCTTTGATACTCCTGAGACTTAGGCTCAACACTGCTCCTCTGTACTTCTCAAACTGTGTCATGGCTCCTGTGGCCTAAGGAGAAACAGGCCAGGAGGTAGAGGTCTAGCTAAGAACACATGCCACCAATAACAACAACTGCCTAAACATAGCAAAATAGAGCTCCGGATTCATGGTAGAATCTGTCTCAGCTGCAGTTTTCAATCCACAGGAAAGTCAGAAACCCATGTGCTTCTCTCCCCAAGCAGCCCCGGCAGTGGCCCCGAAGCCTGTCTTTCTAACTAGATGTCAAGAGCCTCGCCTGCAGGGACCACATCCTGTTCACCTCCTCTTCTCACCGCTGTGCTCCTGGATTAGAACACTACAGGGCAACACTGTTGGTTCGTTAGCCAGAGCAAGGTCGTGTGTAGGACAGTGCTGAGTGGGGAATGAAAGAATGTAGGAAAAGCCAAACCTCAATCTTAATTTAGCATTTTAAAAGTTAGCTTCTTTAAAATGACCACATTTCTACTGTCACTACCACTACCTGACAGAAGCTGAGACAAAAGAATAGAAAATGTACTATAATGTTTTATCAACAAATGATGCCACAAGGAGCCAAGATGAAGGAATTGAAAACATGTCAAGAACTTCAAAAGCATGTCAAGTATTTATGGCTGACTCACAAGCAGAAGTACGCTGTCAAGATCAAGATGGTGACCCCTATCTCCTTGTCAGACTGGTGCTGCCACCGAGGTCAGACTAAAGACCTGGGCTGTCAGCATCCCCAAGACCACACTACTACTCATGCTGAGTTCTTTAAATGGGAATTCTGAAATTTTAACAGCAAACCTCATTCATGGGCAATAGCATATGCCCATCTATGCTCTTCCCTGACCAGTGGGCAGAAACAGGCATGCAATTTGAGAACTAAAATATGGTAACATTTACAAACACTCACATACCTAGCAGAACCACTTGCCAAGTCAGAATAAGGGAGGTATCACTGTGTACATAAATCAACAGACGAAGAACATAAAACATAGAGAGGACCTTTCTGGATGACTTCAGTGTTTCTAGAAACCCATCGAAGCCAGCGTTCTAGAGCACAGGAGACACTCACCACTGCCAGAACTCCCCTCTCGTTTGCTGCGAGAGCCTCCGCCGCTGTCTCTGCCCGATTTTATGCGCTAAAGCAATGGGAAGACAAGTAGAGAAGAATTAGTGACATTCTTTCGGAACCACACACAGTGAAAGAGTGAGTATAAAACTAGCATTAGCACATGACCCTCAGGACTAATTCATCACCACCCAAGAGCCGAGTCTACAGGAAAAAGAATCTTTTGTTTTGCTTTTTCAAGACAGGGTTTTATTGTGTAGCCTTGGCTGTCCTGGAACTCGATCTGTAGATCAGGCTGGCCTCGAACTCACCTGGATCTGCCTGCCTTTGCTGAGACTAAACACATGTACCATCACACCTGGCTGGACAGAATCCATTTGAAAGTAAAGTCTGACCTCCCAGGATCTACAGAGTAAACCAATGGCATTTTTACTCAACAACAACCTTTGCACAGCAAAGCAATTAAAAAATTAAACAGCATTTTCTTGATGAGAAGATTTAGGACTCAAACATAGTAACAGTTTGAGAAAAAAGTGGAAGAGGAGAAAAACATGTATCAAAGGCCATTTACTACCCTATTCCTAAACTGTAACAGTTGACCCAGTTCATTGGAGAGTTAAAAAAAAAAAAGCATCCTGGCTGCTGTGGGATGTTCTGTATGGCAAATGTGTTGCTGATTAGTCAATAAATAAAACACTGATTGGCCATTGGCTAGGCACAAAGTATAGGCGGGACAAGGAGGAGAATAAAGCTGGGAACTGGAAGGCTGAGTCGGAGAGACACTGCCAGCCGCCACGATGAGAAACAGCATGAGAAGATTCCAGTAAGCCACGAGCCACGTGGCAAGGTATAGACTTATAGAAATGGTTAATTTAAGCTGTAAGAACAGTTAGCAAGAAGCCTGCCACGGCCATACAGATTGTAACCAATATAAGTCTCTTGTGTTTACTTGGTTGGGTCTGAGAGGCTGTGGGACTGGCAGGTGAGAGAGATTTGTCCTGACTGTGGGCCAGGCAGGAAAACTCAAGCTACACCTGGCTTTTGACATTAAACTTCTAAATAAAAGCATTATTAAAATCTCACATATAGTTATGGTTTGTCCAACAGTTACTTGTTTGAATCCTCAGAAGCATTTAAATAGGCATCCTTGGGCTGTGATAGTGCCATGTGAGCAAGTGAGTGTATATGTGTATGTTTGTGGTACGCATGTGCACATGTATTGAGAGGTCTGAGGTTGATGGTGAATGTCTTTTTAGCTCTTTATCTTAATTTTTGAGACAGGCTCTCCAAACCTGGAAGTCAGGGATTTGGCTACACTGGCTAGCTGGCAAGTTCCAGGGATCCTCTTGTCTCTGTTCTTCTGTGCTGAGATTACAGATGTGTGCCATGCTCAGCCTTTTATATGGGTACTGGGTATCAAACTCAGGTCCTCCAGTTTGCTTGGAAAGCTGTGATAGTCTTTAAATTTCCTTCCATAATATATGGTTGTTTTGTGTTTTGTCTAAGTGTCAAGCTTTTTATTTAGAGCTGGTTTTTTTTTTGTTTTGTTTTGTTTTGTTTTGTTTTTTTGAGACAGGGTTTCTCTGGGTAATTTTGGTGCCTGTCCTTGAACTTGCTCTGTAGACCAGGCTGGCCTCTGACTCATAGAGGTATGCCTGCCTCTGCCTCCTGAGTGCTGGGATTAAAGGTGTGCATCACTACCACCCAGTTAGAGCTGTTTTTTAATTAAGTATTTTATTTAATATTCATACATGCATAAAATGTATTAGTGCCCAACCCAACAATTCATCAAAAAATGTAATAATTGTAAATGTTGGAGTTCCTGGTTTCATAAAAATAAACATAGGAAGGTCAGGTAGGTCCTGAAACAATAATAATAACTGACTTCAGCATTCCATTTTTCTCTTAGATGGGTCATCCATGCTAAAAAATTCAATAAACTGCAGAGTTCAATTACACTATAGATTAAATAGACTTAACATATCTACAGAATATTCCATCCAATGGATATGGGATACACATTCTTCTCAGCAGCCCATGGAATAGTCTCTAAAATAGGTTACATGCTAGGCTACAAAGCAAATCTTAACAGCAACAAACAAAATAATGCCTTACACCTTATCAGCTAGCAGTTGAATAAAACTAGAAGTCAACAGCAGGAAGAAACAGAAAATACAGAGTTGGAGACTGAACAATACACTTTGAGTGACCAGCAGGTTGTTAAAGAAATCAGGAGAAATTTAAAAATTCCTAGGATCAGATGAGATCACTCTTCATCAGAACCTTTGGAATATAGCTGAGGCAGTTGTAGGAGGAAAGTTGATGGCTATGAGCATGCACATTAAACATTAAAGGCCAGTGGGATAGCTCAGGGGGTGAAAGTACTTGCCCAGCAAGTCTCGTGACCTGAACTTGATCCCCAGAACCCACTCTAAAGGTGGAAGAAGAGAACCAAGTCTACAGAGTTGTCCCCTGACTTCCACATGTGCACTGTTGCAGGCATGCCCCACCCCAATCACGCACACACTCGCAATAATACTGTTTTTAGTTTAAGAAAGCTGAAATAAATAACCTAATGATGCACCTCAAGGTCTTAGAAAAACAAAACTAGGATGAATTCCAAAATAGTAGATGGCAACAAATAATACAATCCATTAGTGAAATGGAGGCTAAGAGGACAACACATTCTATTCAACCAAGGGTTGGTTCTTTGAAAAACACAAAGATTGAAAATCCCTAGCCAATTTAACCAAACTGAGGAGAAAAAAGATTCATATTAATAATATTAGAGATGAAAAAGTGAGATTACTACAGAGTCCAGTGAAATCCAGAGGTTACTACAGAATACTCTGAAAACTTACATTTCAAAAGACTGGAAAATTTAGAAGAAATAGATAAATTCCTAGACACATACAAATGACCAGAATTGAATCAAGAAGATAAAAATAACTTAAACAGATCTATAACTAGCAATGACGTTGAAAGTGTAATAAAGAGTCTAACAATGCCCAGGACCGGCTGGATTCACTGTCAAACTCCACCATTCATTGGAAGAGCTAACACCACTGTTCCTCAAATTGTTCTATAAAACAGAAGGAGAAAGAACACTATTCCAAATTCATCCTATAAATCTGGCATACCTAATACCAAAACTGGGTAAGGACAGGACAAAAAAATTGAGAACACTCTGAAACAATTTCACTGATAAACAAAGGCATAAAAATTATCAGTAAGATATTTGCCCAAGAACACATTAAAAAGGCCCATACATCCTAACCACAATGACTCCAGTACAAGGCTGTAGAACAGTTTCACAGATGCAGATTAACAAAGGGAATACAGCGCACAGGCAGACCTAAGTACAGAAATCATGATGACCTCCATGCACGCAGAAAAGGCCATCAACAATGTTCAACATCTCCACGATAAAAGCCTTGAAGACCCTATGAACAGAGCTAAAGATTCCAAGTAGTCAAAGCCATCCTACACAGAAAGAGCAGCGCTGCAAGTGTCCTAACACCCAGCTTCAGAGCCACCCATCAAATGTGAAGACGGCTCCTGCATCCTGCCCAGGTGGCCCTAGGTGGGAACAGGACACTTAGGAAGGTAAGCTGAGCTTCCACAGCCACCAACTTAGTTTATCCACCATGCTGCCCCGCCCTCAGCTACAACCTTCTACCCCGTTTGATCCCTGGTTCCCTAACAACCATTTAAACCTCTGCGTTCTGTCCATCCAGACCCCTGGCCCACCTTGGTCAGCCCTGTCTGACTCATTTCTCTGGCTCACTCACCAAGAGAAACATAAGCCTTGGCTGCTTCTGTGACTCGCCTCTTTCCCAGGACACTGGGAAATGGCTAAGCATGCCAATGGACACCACAGGGCACCAACGGTATACTCAGCATCTCAACCCATGCCCATAAAACTCCATTCTCTCTCCTCTTCACCTGTGGCTAGTAAGGTCCTGCCTGCTGTATGGACTAGAGGTGAGAGCACCCCATTAGTCCTCTAAGTCTTCCTCCAGCTCTTCTACTCAGAGATGCCCTGTGTGTCCCTGGTGGCTTCCCTCTTGTCTCTGCTGGCTCAAGGTTTTCGCAAACATCCTGTGTGTGTAGAACGGTATTTATCCTTACTTCCAGCTCAACATCCATGTGCACTCAAATCCAACAAATAACGGCCATGCGGCTCAGTGGGAAAAAGCATTTGCTGTGCAAGCCTGATCACTGAGTTCTACCCCTGAACACACAGTGGAAACAATGAGCCAACTCTTGACAGTTGTCTTCTGACCTTCACTCTGTGACACACGCAAGTTCTGTATCTCTTCATAGCTCTCTCTCTCTTTCTCTCTTCTCACATACATATTAAATTTACAAAATTAAAAAAAAATCAACAAGTCCCACCGGGAGGGAATTTAACGGGCCAACCACTGTTAACAGCCATGACAAAGATTTTGTACAGACGTCACCAAGATGACACTGGGGTTCAAAGAATAGGAACCGTGAAGCAGTAATCAGCCGTTCACTTCCGACACCACGTACACGGGAGAAGTCTGACCAACAGTACCTCAGGCGATGGCATGCTTCCTCAGCAGATGCAGAGGAAAACCCCTAGGGACAGAGCCATGCCAACAGCAATCCCAGCAGGCCATGGGTCTGACTCTTGCATGCTCTCCAGGGATTCCAGAACTCGCTGGAAGTTGGTCTTGCCCTGTCAGTGTGGAGTGAGAGGTAAAGAAGCCTAGGCAGAGGCAAGAAGAAATAGAAGGAACTCAGGAGGGCCAGCTACAGAGCTACCTAACAGCTCCTGCTAGGCGAGGCATGGGAAGAAAGTCCCAGGCACAGGGCATAACACAAATGGGGTAGCCAGCAGGGTGAGTGGACAGAGCTGAGGCACCCATGATGAGAAAATAAAGGCCAAGGGCGTAGTGTATTAAGATAATGATGGAATGGATCTAGAATTTGTAATCAGACGCTGAGATTGGAGAAGGCTTCTGGGCGAGCATTAACTATGAAAATCATAGAGGTACAAACATACAATTCATGCATGAAGGGTAAATGCAAACGGGAGGCTGC